GTGAGGGACGAAGACGGAGCTGGCGACGTGTAGATATTAGACGAGACAAATAGAACTATTAAAAGGTCCGCTGCATATACGAATGCAGGGGGAATCATTTGTACCTTCGTAACACGAAATAAAAGCTATATAGCCGTATCGTTAACTGCATTGCACCGTGTTCTGTTCATCTGGTACGACCTGTTATCTGCTACGTGCTCATCGCCGTCCTGGCCTTAATACATCGACAGGAGCGGACACTGATCCCACTACTGGACACACGTTACTACCTAGCGTCTGTCGAACCGTAGTCGTCTACCCTAGGGCACTACAATATAATGTACGTGTCAGTCTCATGTGGACATCCCACAAGAGTATAAACTCCTTAATGAACTCAAGGTTTAGGACCAATTACGTCGTTTACGCTTCCATTCCTCTCCCCACTTTCACAATTCCTTTATACGCCCTGTATTGCATCTGTAGATGCAGACTGCAGTGTCAACTCACCATTCTTAAGTCGAGCGGCCGCCTCACAGACATTTACGCCGGCGTTCGACTGTCCGTCGGTAATGACCACAAGCACCTGGGAATCGCATGATGATTCTGCTAGCATAGATTCCGCCCTCTCTAGTGCATCACCGGTTCTTGTCGATCCGCCATCTGCGATGGAAAAGTGAGACGTGAAAACTGTTCTATACATAGAATGCAAGAATGGTTCTATCCGGAACATGAAACGTGAGCATTTTCTATCCGTAGTGTGAGAATTGCAGAATTCACCAGAATGCGGAAAGGCTTGAGAATTGTTCTTTCCGGAATGTCAGGCCGATTTACAGATGTGCATAGGCATATATATTTACATTTGTATTTGCTACTGATTACTGTCTATCGTTGGCTGAATTTTGATGCTGGGACCCAAATCCCAACCATAAGGCCAACCCTAACTCTAACCGTATTCCTAACACTAACCCTAACTGTAATAATAACACATTTATAATTTGTATACATATATTTAATCAGTACGATTGTTCACAGACTGCATATGGTTTGGGTTATTGCAATCAAAAAAGGTAACAGACAGAACGATCTAAACAATCTATCAGACATCTCCACATACATTCACATGCTTAGCGGTAACTGTAAGCTTACGTTGGTAAACCAGGCCTTCAATAGTCTCTAGAACTCCGTCGATGTTGTCTTGGCCGTTGAAGTTCATTATGGTTTCCACGACATCCGAGTACATGATGATTGCCATCTCTGATGCAATACCGTCAGCGCTACCGATTGGGTATTTAGTATGTTGTACCTCTGCTGTTTGCTGCAAGAAAAGGCAAAACATGGCCAATATAGCAAATGCTTACATCAAAAATCGATCTAGTTCGATTTGGTAATGTCAGTTATTCTACGAATCACATAGATAAATGTGTGTACCACACTCAACCTGCATATAAGGGTCACTCAGAGGAATCAACGAGAGTGTCCTTTATAGAAAGGTTTCCGTTTAGGCTCCGAGGTAGTTTTACTGTATGACTGCCATTCAACAGAAACCCCAAAAGTATCCATCACGAACAGGTGTGCTTCGTCCGATCCCGGATATTCCTATTGACATCGGTAATGACGATGATGCTATAAGCTTCATCGAGAAATTCGGCGCTAAGACGACGTCTACTGACGACAAGGCGGGATGCGAGGCGGTAGTCTTCGTTGTTGATGCCAGCGGCAGTGTAGGCAGTGACAGTTTCGTTAAAGCCAAGAGCATGGCAAAGGTAAACTATAAGTCACGGCCAACACCTTTATAGACCTAATAGCTAGACATTTGGCGGTTCTCTTGAGCGGCACGTACTTACCTACATAGTGACACAATCTCTACTGAATTTTTTATTTGTATGTTTAACACGTAGTATGCCATGTTTTTTAATATTTAAGAAAAAATCGTTCTAACTTTCGACTAGCAGAAGTGTATTTGAATTACAGTTATGGAGCACCTTTTAATTAAACAAATCAATAAAATAGAACACAATATTTATGACAATTAAAAGCCAAACAAAAAACTGCGAAGAACCAAGAATTGTAACTTTGCGCTTAACCACGGCAGCAATTCTTCGGACACAGTGTAAAAGCAACTGTGTCCGCTATAGCTATACTTACGGTGAATACGCACCACCACCCGGTAGCAATCCTGGGCTTACTGGTATCGAATTGACAGACGTAAGAGCTAATACGTCGAAAATCACCGCATATAACGCGCAAACGATGATTGAAGTCATGTTGCAAATGTTTCTCTGCTTTTCGCACTATACCGCGTTGTCTGTCTGATTATGTGCGTCTCTGGTGCTGTCGCAGGGAAGAGTAGACGATAAGTGTGGCGCGTAATCGTGGCTTATATATAGAAGCAACTGGCGGCGACACACGAGCTGACAGGCCTCGAGGCACGTCGTGAGCTCCTCTCTGCTCTAACAGGTTTTTCTGGGAAGTGCTGGTATTATGCGGACCGCAAACAGGACCTATTTCTCACTACGCTGCAGGTACCTGCAGCCATTGACATAATTCACTACCCGTGCACCAGTGTTGTAGGTCTCGAGACCGGTCTTGGCCTCGAGACCGGTCTCGAG